CGCTTTTTGATACTCTGCTTTGCCATTGTTACTATATTTATTATTGTTTTGACGATTTGAAATTATATGAAAATAAACATGGCTACTCACGAGTAAAATGTATCTATAATGTGCGTATTCGCCACGTGCTTGTCCATGAATTAATGAGTATATACTATGCATTGGCGGGGTGGAGTGATAATAGGGAGAGAAGGGATGAGAGTTTAGGACATTTTTTATATTTTGTCGGTGCGGTCTCCACGTGTTGGCGGTGTCTTTGTAAGTAAGGCAGCTGCACGTGTGTGGACCTTCAACCTTGTCTGGCGGCACAATAACACGTCGGTAAGCAGAGAATAAATAAGTCGTTTCGTGGTGTTGTGGTCAGCATACCTGCCCTGAGAGCAAAGGGACGTGGGTTCGAATCCCACCGAGGCACAACATTTTTTCTCTGCTTACCTACACTTGTAAGGCGGCCGCCGTCTGAAGTGCGGCTCGCACCACCTCTGGTCGCGCCTGCGCACGTCGCATTTAACGGTTTTATTCCACGGAATTTTTTCCACGGAGTTTTTCTTACGGTTTTAGGATCACATTTGTTTCAGTTCGGTCGCGTAGCAAAATCCCTATCTCCTCCAAGCCTGCCGTAAGGAACTTCGTTCCAAAAAAATATATGACAATAAACTATTTAAAAAAAAAAACACCTTCGCATTATATAGTGAAAGTTGTAGACAGGTTATATTTAAAATTTTATCACAATAAGTGTGTTAATAATGGAGATATTAAATTCTAAAAATATATTAACTACACCATAACAGCCAAGCGTAGCGATTCCTCTTAAGAAAGTAACAGAAGCAGGGCAAAATTTGAGGGTAGCCGGTTTTTTTGTCGGACCCTATATACAGATCCACTGTAAATTTTATAAATTCTCACTACCAAGTCATAATACTCATAAAATAAAACCGCATATGTCTCTAGCAACAAAGCGTTTACTACACTAATCTAGCCCAATTTCCAAGTACTTGTCCACTCAATGATTCATCTTGTTGTCAATTAGATAAAGAAAAAAGGCAAATATTATTTTCTCAGAATTCTAGAACCGATACATAAACTATAACACCTCATATCAGTATAAAAAATAGTTTGTTTCGTAACAGACTGTAACTCTACAATTCGAAAACTAAATATTTTTCAAATTTTGATCGTAATAATACTTGATATATATGCTTATATGGGGTGTTCAATTGAAATAGTCATCAAGTTGGTCTTGATTTTTGTAAACGTTGTGAAACATGTCTACATTAAACCTAAATTTTAATCACTGACAGCTAACAACGGGGAAATGTTAAAAGTATGCATTAATAAAACACATGCGTTTTTCGCTATATTATCTGTTATAGAGGCAACGCCAACTCGATGACTTTTTACTTCCCGAGCGTAAGCAAAGGAAGTATGGTAATCGAGTCCGTCGGCCGACTCTCTACTTTTACGTGTTCTCGATCTTTCATGACCCCTAGAAGACGAAGAAATAGGTCTCCCATTCCCGTCTGTCTGTCCGTCTCTCCGTCTGTCCGTCTGTCCGTCCGTCTGTCCCGAATTTTTATTAGACAGATAATCTCCGAAAGTACTGGACCGATTGTTGTGAAATTTTGTAGTTATATTAGGAATATCATGTAGAACGCTAACCAAAATTTGTCTAATAATCCCCACCACTAATGTGATGACGTCACTTCAAAATTGTACATAGTAAACGTCCAGATTTTTGGAAAAAAAATCAAAATTATAAAACAACATTTTGCAATTTAATTTTGAATCTGCTAATCCGAATGTTTTAAAATGTTGCAGATGTTTTAAGGCTATAAAGAGCATCATAAATCTTTACTCAAAATATATTTGGTTATCCCCTCCAAAAACTTGATGACGTCAGCTCAAAAGTTTGCCAAATAAATCCAATGTAAAATGTACAAAATATGATGAGTCTGTGTTTGTGATATATCACTTCATTCATATTTTTTGGATTTGCATATACAGGGTGACTCAAAAAAATTAATGAATGCGTAAATTTATTTTACTGATTTACTCAGGAACTACAAAACCGAATGCTTTGAAATCTTGAAGGTGTTTTAAAGTTATCATAAGCATGGTAAGTTTTTGATCAAAATGTATTTGCTCATCCCTCCTAAAAAATTTATGACGTCACCACAAAATTTTTCCGAATAAATCCTATCTAAAATGTACAAAATATGGTGAGTCTCTTCTTGTCATTTATCATTCTATTCAATTTTTTTCGATTTCCATATACAGGGTGACTCAAAAAAATTAATAAATGCGTGAATTTATTTTATTGATTTAATCAGGAACTACAAAAACGAATGCTTTGAAATCTTGCAGATGTTTTAAGGTTATAAAGAGCATATTAAATGTTTAGTCAAAATATTTTTGCTTATCCCCTCCAAAAAATTGATGACATCAGCTAAAATTTGCCGAATAAATCCTATCTAAACTGTACAAAATATGATGAGTCTGTACTTGTAATTTATCGCTCCATTCATATTTTTTTGGATTTGCATATACAGGGTGACTCAAAAAAATTAATGAATGCGTAAATTTATTTTATTGATTTACTCAGGAACTACAAAACCGAATGCTTTGAAATCTCGAAGGTGTTTTAAAGTTATCATAAGTATGGTAAGTTTTTCATCAAAATGTATTTGCTCATCCCCCCTAAAAAATTTATGACGTTACCACAAAATTTTGCTAAATAAATCCTATCTAAAATATACAAAATATGATGAGTCTTTTCTTGTGATTTATCATTCCATTCATAGTTTTTGGATTTGCATATACAGAGTGACCCAAAAAAATTAATGAATGGGTAAATGTATTTTATTGATTTAATCAGGAACTCCAGAACCGAATGTTTTCAAATCTTGCAAATGTTTTAAGGTTATAAAGAACATAATAAATTTTTAGTCAAAATATATTTGGTCATCTTCTACAAAAAACTGATGACGTCAGCTCAAAAGTTTGCCGAATAAATCCTATCTAGAATATACAAAATATGATGAGTCTGTACTTGTAATTTATCATTCCATTCATATTTTTTGAATTTGCATATACCGAGTGACTCAAAAAAAATAATGAAATCTACTGCAAAAAAAACATAATAGACATGCAGTCGTTTCGTTTCCGACAGCGAGGGAAGTACACCCGCATTCTGTTATGAGTGGAATTAAATTGTTAATTATTTTTTAAATGATTTTCATTTGTTGATCACATTTTTTCAACTATAATTAATTTCAGAACAATTGCTTATTATATTACATTCCTACAATAAATCGCCAAATTAAATTCGATAAAGTTCAATTAATTATCACAATTTTTACGTATATTTTACAGCGTGATTAACAATAAAACATGTGCTTATGATTTTATTCATTACAGAAATCTATTTTATGACTTGTGTAAAAGTCTACTTAAATACACTTGATCACTTGGTACAAACTTGTAATAACAACGAAGTACATAATATGTACATCCAAAAACATCATACATCGTATCACAAAGTACGTGAACACAAAGTTATAATAAGATATCATCTTTATTTTAAACAATTCTAGATATGTACTCTGGGCCTGACGTACCTAGAAATTTGAAATTTTTAACTAATTTAAACAATTTTCGACAATTCTATGGTAACTTTCAAAAGCTTAACTATTAAAATAAACAAGATATGTTATTTACCAAAATCAGTTTTATCTTAGCAGGTACTAGCCCCGCCCACCCACCTTCTCTTTTCTTAGAGGGTATGTCATTTGCCAAAATCAGTTTTATCTTAGCAAGTATTGATGATTAACTTTTACAAAAAATAATCAAAATTTGGAAATACTACGAGTTTGCTTATAAGCACAAGGTAGGAATTTTGAACATCTTCTCTTGTGTTCAGTTGGTTCATGCTTTAATGGATTTTTCGTTTGTTGGTTTTATTTTTGTTTATGATTTATAAATGTCTTATTAAATATTTTTTTTTTATTAAAATTTATAATGTGATGACGTCACCTTAAAATTTTGCGTAGTGAATATTATTTAAATTTTACAAAATATCATAGTCCTACATTTATAGAGTATTATTTCGTCTGATTATTATTTACCCTAAACATCCAGATTTTTGGAAAAAAAAAAATCAATATTGCGGTCCAACATTTTAGAATTTACCTCTAAACTGTAAAACCGAATGCTCTGAAATCTTGCAAACGTTTTAAGGTTATCATAAGCATGATATATCGTTGATTAAAATTTATCCGTTTACCTTCCCAAAAACTTGATTACGTCAACTGAAAATTTTGGCGAATAAATCCTAAAATGTGTAAAATATTATAAATTTATACTTGTGGTTTATCCATGGATTGATAGTTTTGTTAATCACTTACACATTTATCACTGAGTCAAAAAAAAAATGAATGAGGCAATTTATTTTACTGATTAAAGCAAGAAAAACTCAACTCTAGTTTCTCGAAAATTTGTGAATACAGTACTGTTATTATTAGTATTACACTGCATCTATCCAAAGTGATATACGTGTCTTTACTAAAATGTTGATGGGGTCATTACAAAATTTTGTAACGGAAAAATTCACTTGAAACGTACCCATCGCATACTTTTTACCTTTATTCTAAATCACACACATATCTTTATTTTAACTAATAGAAGTTATCATAAAAAAATAGAACTTGGAAAATCAAATAAAATGTTTACTTCTTTTACTCCTACTCCTTTTGGTAGATAGTGAATTTGTTGAAATTGACTATCAAAGACTATTTGTGAACATATAGTGGACTTTTTGCAAAAATAATTTTTATTCAAAACGCAATTTTTGTACTTTTATGTGCTTTGAATTAGCAACTATTAATAATTCCGTCACAGTGTTCTTCGTGTAAAACTGATCTTTGTGCCCTCAACACAGTGTACACCTCGCTTTCGGTCTCAGCAATCTCACTCAAATGCAACTTTTGAATTTTTTCTTTCAGACTAAAAAAGAAAAAAGGCGGTTTCTTCACTTCCATCACATCCCTTCAAAAGAACAGCGCCAAATACAGCACCAAACGCGAACAACTCGACGAGAAATCGACGGGCGCCCGCAACGACTACCTCTTGTGCCTGGCGGCGGCGAACGCCCACCAGAACCGCTACTTCCTGGTGGACATGCAGCTGTGCATGAACTCCATGGAGAGCGGCGTCTTCGACAAAGTGGCCGAATACCTCTCGTTGATGGGCCGCACCGAACTTCTGACCTGTTCGGCGTGGCAGAACTCCTTCACCAACATTAGGGACCAGGCAAAACAGCTGACGAGAGAGTACAACATACAGTGCTGCTATTTGTACTATCCGGTACTAAAACAGCACATACAGTACCCCTTCGAATCGTGTGATAACGACCCCGTAGAGACCATCACGGCCGAACACGATTCCGCGGCGGCGACGCTGAGCAAGGAGGCGAGGAGGTGGGCCACGAGGATAGCGAGGGAGAATAATGTGATCAGGGAAAGTGTGAAGAAATTGCAGATTTATAATGCGCTCAGAGAGTCTGGACAAAAGGTAGGCTCATTTACAAGTTATGGATCGCTTCATTGTGGAGGTTATTTTTGGCAATTTTGTTGAATGTAGCCTTCAAGTCTACAAAATTCGCTTATAACTTCTTCCATGACTTTTATTTTCTTGTTTCAAAGCTTATTCTAGATCGTCGGGTCGTTGTTGACTTTTATCTAAAGAGTTCTCGGTTACAGTGGAATTATTTCTCTACTTTCAACTTTAGTTTGTCTTGAAACTTATTGGTATAATTCGGTTGAACTTTATAGTTCTGACAAGTTCTGAATGAACGACGTGTCGCTCTTGGTCAGAGACCTTTCAGGTTTATTATCGTGTGATTCAAATATTCTGGATTTTCAGGAATACCAATTTTTTTTTCCCAATAAATATCTACATCACCCAATTGATACCTAAAAACAAACCTAATTTACAGCAATTTTTGCAGATATACAGACAAATTTATAAAATTAAACAATTATGAAAAACTAAACTAAAAATTATGTAACGGGTAATCTGTTTTATGATAGAGCAAATTATATAAAAATTTGATTCTTATACAGTTCTGTCCAGTCTGTATTGTCTGTATTATTTGTATGTCATAAAATATATGTCAAAATACGCAAAATTTTTACTAAATATGCACCGTACTATGCACATATATGCGAAGAAAGAACCATAACCAACAAATTAAAAACACGAGAAGTGTGTGTAGAAATAATTACAGTTATTAATTGCTTACAACCAGAGTTAGGCACTGCCGAAGTGATGCGCAATCAACCAGACAAATATTAAAAACGACAGCGCGACGTCAGGCGATAAATTTGGCTGACCGACTATGCAGTCTCAACTACGTCTCAATCTCAGTGGCGTTTGATGCAAATCGGGGTTTACTAGTCAAGATCATCACGAAAATTGTGATGTTGAACAGTCATTTTGAATTTTTAAAGCATTTTAACATCTAGGAGAACTCGTATAACTGAGGAAAACCGAGAAAAGTGGTAATTGTTATTAAGAATTCACGAAGTTGTAGGCCACGACTGCAATAGCGCTGGCGATCGGACGGCAATGGCCGAAGTCTGCTTATACTATACTTTTACATATACCATAAATACGCTATAAACTACACATTTTTTTTGCTGTTACAATTCATAATCAGACGTTTTCCCAAATTTTCCATTGTAAAATTATGTCTTCTATCTGTCAGTAACTTCATTACTATCTCAACAAATCTAATTGGTGTGTACTTTAACGCACTAATAGTGTCAGGACCTAATTCTGCTTTAATATCTAATGATTCGCCACTTAAAATTAAACTGATGTTTTCTAGGATCTTGTAATCAGCATTTTTATTAATTACCTCTTTTACATTTTTATTTACAGAATCACCTATTTTATTTTTTTTAAGATTTGTTTTTTAATTTGATGATACTGCATTCACATCTGAAAATTCTAAATTTAAATTTTTTATTATAATTTAATTTATTAAGTGGTTCAGGTGTACTAGACGCAAACATTTAGTGCGTTTATGGCTTTGACGTTTAAAGTACTTTAAAGCCAATCCTTCATAAAACTTAGCAAATGCCACGTGCCAGGGACGGAAAAGCTCTTTTCAGGTACGTCATCAGTAAGCGAATTTAAGACATCCGACTGTGACGACCTATTGAATTATAATGGGAGTTAAATTGATGTGAAGCCATAAACACGCTAAATGTTTGCGTCTAGTATAGCAGTGGAATACTTGGCAACTTTTCTTTATATATTTGTAGCCTCAAAGGTGAACAACATTAAGAAGAAAGAAATTCATGAAATATATCATATATAAATATATCATCAATAAAACTTAATACAGTCAGATGGTTGATTTTTTCTAATTGTTTGAATACAACTAAACAAGATTTACTAGACTTTTTATCACTTAAATAACCTACCTGTAGATTGGCAATATAACGCCCACAAGCATCAGAAGTTTCGTCTACTACAAAATGTATAAATTGGTTTTTTACTATTCTTTAATACAGTAGAACTCCTCTATAACCTAACCAGTCCCGGTTATCGCGAAAAATCGGCTATAACCAGTAAATCTCTTCGATCCTTGACGTTTATATATTACTCTGTGTAAAAATATCACTTTTTAACGAGTAGCTTTTAATAACAGATCTGATATAACGAAAAAATGTTTCGCCCCAGATCGGTTATACCTACTTACAACGAATGAAATTCTTGAAAATTATTATAATATTCGTAGAATACTGTGTTTATACTATTTTATTCTTTCACTCTACAACCACAGTCGAAGTTTTGATTATTTTATTAGTTACATGTGAAAATTATGTCGTTTTTAAAGAAAATCCATAAAAGAAAAATTACAAAAAATAACCAAATGTGAAAGTGGCAAAAAACAAAGTTCGACCTTAGCAACAAAAAAAAAATAAATAAAAACAAAATTGTCAATGCATCCAATGAATTTTCTAAAAAGTTAAAAAACTTTGTTCAACGAAGAATCCTAAACTCTATAAAGCCGTTCTCAAATGGTTTAGAACCAACTGTGAAGTGTTTTTATGTTAAAATATAAATATTCGTCATTTTTTGTTGGTGGGTATTTATAGTCCAGATCACGACAAACTTTTTGATCGTCAGTGCATTTAGAAAATGCACTTGCCATGTTTAAAGTTAACAATAATGATCAAAAATAAACGATAATAAGAGTTTTTTTTATTTTAAAATTATTGGCTATTTTTTTTTATTGAATAATAAAAATGTGTGTTTTGTTCATTTTCGATCACTTTTTAGATAAAAAGTTGTATTCTAAAGCTTTGGAATGTTTTTTTCCTGCGTTGTTTTTTACGAATCTCGCTGATACCGAATGAATCCAAAGGTCCCTTGAGTTCTCGTTATATAGGGGTTCTACTGTATTAGAAATAATGTAAATATCTGGTGCATAGTTTTTTCTCAGCATACGGATATAACATTTTTACAATATTTTTTCTGAAAACGCTTTGAAACAAAGGCCTTCTAATTTTTTAGGGGGAATATTTGCACTTAGCATCGCTTTATATAAATGTGTATTAAATACTTGCTGCTCATTTTCTTTGAAGTTCCGGGAAAAGATTGTTTCAAGAAAAGATTTTGACACTTCCTTTTATAAAGTTGTGTTGAAACATGTGATATTTAGAACTTGCACTCACATGTTGTCTAAAAATTACATATTTTTATTTTAAAACAAAAAAACAGTCGTATTAAAAAATATGCAACATAAATTAAAAAAAAAACACTTACAGTTTTACCACATGCTTTGCAGAAAACATTTTCGTCAGTTGAAATAAGTTCAAGATAATATTTTATCCATGAATTTATTAAAGTTGTTGTCACTTTGGGTCTTTTTCACAAAATTTACTACCACCAGCCGTCTTCAGTATCTAGTTAGAATGAATTAGAAATATTTTTTCAAATTATTCTCCCCATCTTTACTTGCCAATATCAGGTATAATAGTATATTTATTATGCGACAAGTGATTTCAACGTTAAGAGTTTTTTTTTTAACGAGCGAAGCGAGGTAATGTCAAAATAACGCATTTCAATGTCATGAGTAGAAAATAGTATATTATTAGCCAAGGTTGCAAAGCCAAGCATTCTACACCGAGCGCAAATTTAGAACCCGAGACGCGCAGCGTCGAGGGCTCTGAAGCGCGAGGTCTAGAAGTGGCTTTACAACCGTGGTTAATATACTATTTTTTTCACTAGCAGCCTGGACGCATGCAAATGTCGACTCATTTAGTGGTAGCAAATTCAACTTTTGCTACCACGGGTTCAAAAAGAAAAATTGAGGTTATGTACGCAATGTTTGATGTGATTATTTCTTAAAAAATGAACAAATGTGTGCTACAAACATTACTTGAGTATACGCATGGTAGTTGGTAGACGGTGGAAGATAAAATGATTAACTCAGCGACAAGTATAAACGGTTTTCTTTGTGTTGAAGATTTAGATCAAGTTTGATTAGAAATCAAAACAAAATCATGTTGCGTCAAAAAATTGAACGTTTATTTTTCAGTTTATTGTCTTATGGTTTCTACTAGTGAAAAAAATAGTATATTAACCACGGTTGCAAAGCCACTTCTAGACCTCGCACTTAGAGCCGTCGACGCTGCGCGTCTCGGTTTCTAATTTGCGCTCGGTCTAGAATGCTTGGCTCTGCAACCTTGGCTAATAATATACTATTTTTCACTAGTAGAAACCATAAGACAATAAATTGAAAAAATAAACGTTCAATTTTTTGACGCAACATGATTTTGTTTTGATCTCTAATCAAACTTAGGGCCGAATTCTGTAAAGTATAAAGGCACTTTGGTAAAAGGATTGTCCTTTACATAAAGATATTCCTATTATCTAAAACGTAAAGGACCCTTATAGATCCGTTGCATAAAGGTGAAGTTCTTTATAGTTTCCCTTGTGCAACGTATGGTCATATGTGTCATTTTATGCAAATTATCTGTCAGTTTCATTAGTTTTAATAGTGACTGTTTCTAAATAAAAGGGAAGACATGGAGAATCTGTGATTATTTATCCTAGAGGAATTACAATAAAGGTATATATGAGTCAGAACAATGATGTCTTTGTCCAGTTTTATAATTTCATGGTTTAAATTTGTTAATGTTAGCAAAAAGCACTAAAAATCGTCATATTAAAGTTAATTAAGCCCAATTTGGTGGAAATACAAATACTTTTACGATACTCCAAATAGACTGGTAACTAATAAACAACTTTGCAAAAACAACTCCTGTGGAGGAGTCTTTACTTATAAAAGACCAAAAAATCCATTAAAGGCCAGACTCCCTTGACCAGTTGCCACTCCAGTGTGTTGGTACATAAGGGGCCGGTGCTGATATCTCCAAAAACGTACATGATTTCATAAAATGTTTATTTTTTTTTTAAGTTTTTTAAATGTGTTACCATCATCACGAACCAACCTACGAGCAAATAACTAATACTTTTAGTGTATGTCAGGCACA